TAATATTGCTTTGTTTTGGTTTTCAGTGACCGCACTGTGAGGATCTGGAAAGCTCGAAATATAATAGACGGACAGATCTCAGATACAGGAGATGCAAGTGAAGATCTTGCCAGTAATTGAAATTATGGGTATAAATTAATATATTGATTGATTTGAGGTGCACTCTATGCAGTTTGCTGCATGTTTATTAGGTAAACACTGATGATTGGAACAAACTGACAATGCGTGAACTCTTCTACTAGACCTGCTGTCCTTTAAAGATGTACTGTATTTAATAACCTCTTGGTAACACGCTCGTGTCTCAACAGTCACATATATATCTCTATATATTATGGCTGAATTTGTGTGCATATGTAATACTTGCAGTTTAAATTAACTGGAATTCAGTCTTCTCTAATGACCATCTCAAAATTATAACCTGGAATATATAACAAAAGTGCTCTGCTGTACTTCACTCACAAGTATGATCAGCTGTTTTGCATTTTAGGGTAGCAGGGGAAGGATGGCGTCCCAGTAATCAGCCTGTGATTATGAGAGGCAGTTTCAAGATTCTAAAGGTCACTTACACTGTTGTTGTGAAAGTGGACTGAATAGTAGATGGGAAGAAGCTGTTAATGATACATCTATCTGACATGGCTGTATCCTGCTAACAGCAAATGCCATATGATTTGTGTAATGTTAGCGTGTAATCTGTGTTGACCAAAGTTGTGCAGCTGTGTATCTCTATGCTCAGGACTAGAATTCAAATACTCACAAATTGGTATGTTTTATTTGTGTTTTGCCTATGTTCTGCAATGACTAGCTGTTCTTAAGGTCATGACAAATATATCTTAATCTATTTTTCTTATGGATTTGTTTCTATCATCTCACATTTTCTTTTTTTAAAGCAAATTGTCTTTCCTTTTTATCTAATTTTATATGCTGCTAAATGTATTTTAAATACACTGTTTTGCAAACCTTGGCAGTTACTTTGAGAACTGAACCACGTGTATTGGAAAAAGCTATGTAAATAGATGGTTGTATAAAGAAAATATCCTATCTTGTGCCTGTATGACTTTTAAAGCTCTTGGAGCATGGATATTGAGGGAGGATGTATAATTTACCCAACTGCTCTGAATATTAATTTGTAAATTCTGCAAATTTTGAAGTTTTATGTAGATTCAGATACAGTGTTTGGATATTGAGGTTTTTTGGTTGTTTTGTTTTTATTTTTCAGAAATACCAGTCTGTAAATTATAGCTTGTGTAGGTAACACTTAAATAAAGATGTGAATGTGAACTACTTTTTTGCCTTTTTCATCATACTTCCTTATAAGAAATTCACTTCCCCTGCAGAAGTCTTCAACGTAAAAAGTACAATTTTACACAATGCAATAAGGTAGCTTGCTGAGTAATATAGCCCATAGGTTGTTCTGGTATCCCACATCTGTGTTCTTGTTGGCCATTATTTGTATTTTGATAGTACTTAGGAACCTATTGGGATTCCCTCACACTAAGTACTGGACAGACTTAAAATGAAGCACCTGGTTCCTGTTCCTATGAGATGACACTTCTTACCTTACTACGTATGGTCTGTCAAACAAAGAAGTTTTGATGACTCTTACTGATCTTGGAGGAATCATTTCTTTCTCTGCTCAGCTTGAAAGGAGATGAAAGTACTGCTTGTGATTTGCTTGTGAATTTATTCCAAGTTTTGGCAGAAATGAGTAATGAATGATATATATTGTTAAGAAGCAATGTATAAGTTATTTAAACAGCAGCAATACCAGTTAGTGTTTGTCTGTCGTGCTTTTTGGGCACTCAGAGGGCGTACACACAAATGATTTGGGTCTATATCACAACTTTGAGCAGAAGTCCCAGTGGAGAGTGGATTTACACACAAGACTCACGTGGGAGTCATTTTTGTGTCTGGTGGAGGGTCCCTGTTCCCCTTGTCCCAGTAGGTAAAATCCACCCGTTGTGTTGTGCCAAGCTACACAAATGATGGCAACAGCTTGGTGATCCCTGGTTTTGGGGCTGTCATCTGGAAACTGAGTAGTTGTGGGCTTTTTTAGTGTGTGTCTAAGATTCATATGAATATTGTATTTTCCAGCTAAACCAGGTCTTACCATAGAAAACAGCTTTACTCTGAAAGCTCTTGCCATCAAGTGATTGGAAGAAAAATATAATTTTGTAAAGGTCTCAGTATCAAGTGTCTTGTTTTAATGGAGAATTCTTTGACTGTTAGTTTTTCTCCAAACATAATTTTTGCTGTAAAACCACATATGAGACAAAAGATAATATGAAATCAGAAAAAGGTAAGCACTGGACTCTGATTGTCTGAAGATGCTTGTTTCAAAAAAAAAAAAAATGAAGGTGAAGGTGGTCTCTGAAAAATTAATTATCTAAGAAGTCATGGGAAAATCATGTTCTCTCTCGAAGTTAGAATTCAAAACCAAGTTTTGAGCCAAGTTTGCGGACAAATTACTGAGTACATCTTATCTGCTTAGACACGTTCTTAAATACAGGCAAGGTCATATTCTTACATACAGGCAAGGTCGTGTGTTACAATTAATCTCATGGAAGTTATGAATGTTGAGAAAATATTTGCAATGTTTCTGATTGTGTATGGGAAACAGTGCTTATTGTGCCCCTGCCTTGTATAAAAGGCTCCAGGCTGCCTGCAGAAGTCCTCCTTCAACCGTGGCAAGGATGAGGAGCCTGTGTTTCTTGGCTGTTGTACTCGCAGGTAAATATATGGCACTTGTATTTTGTCATAGGCTTCAAAAGCAAAATATACATGTGGTAGCAACAAAAGAACCATCAGAGGAGGTGATCATGTTCCATGTAAAAGAAGAGAACATGCATGGCATTGACTCCACCTGAGGTGACTGTGGGAGGACAATAGAGCTGGCTTGTTTAGAAACATACCCCAGTCCTACAGTGTATTCAGCTCTTGGGCACCAGCACAGGCACATGGGACTCAGTGGGATCATTCAGCTCCTGAAAGTGACCCATTGCTTTGCTAGTGTGTTTTCTCTGATTTTTACCCCAGCATACCAGAGGTTAATTTGGTCCAGAGTCTAATAAAGGGAGAATACATATTACTGTGTTGCTAGAGGAAGGAACCCAAAGCAAATGCCTTTGAAACATACAGATGAATCCAAAATGTAAAGACTAATGCTGTTAAATTAAAAACCATGTGGTAATACTTTAATTCCTTCCTTATTCCTTAATTTTAATCTTAATTTTGCAAAATTGAAGTCAGGGTTTTTAAAAATCAGTGAGGATAGTTTTTCATGTATATCTTTTCAACTACCTTGCTTTAGCTTCTGTTCCCATGGAAATTATCATGGAAAAGCAGCAAGTCACCATAGCTGTTTCTGTATATTCAACTGCTTGTTTGGATTTCATCCCCTATGTACGTTTGCAGACATGGGCCATAAATACAGTGAAAATGATACAGAAATTTTTTAAATTATTTTAAAAAGTAGGGAAAGAAAATGACATCTTCCCAGTTGCTACTATCACATTTGTACTACAATAGAAGTAAATCCAGGAACAAGAGATGAATGAGATTGCAGCTTTGTTCAGCTGCTTACACCTGCAAGTGTTTGTTTTTAAAATTTCCTGGAAAATGTAAACTTTGCATTAATGGGAGGAAAAAAAACATAAAGAAACTTTCTGGCTTCTGCTGGGGCAATATTTTTTCCCTTGAACTAGTTTTGCATTCACAATATCCTTCATGAGAAGTATTTTGAAAGTATTTTACAATACAAATGAGTTTATAAAAGTCTCCCACAAACCTATGCTATGTAAAATGAATGCCACATTAATAATCTGCTGTACTATGTTCAGTCATACTCTTTGATTTCAGCAATGAAAACGCTGATGCTGCATTTGACTCCCACTGAAAAACACACCCCAAAGTGAAATGAAATGTCATGGGTTTAGTTTATTTTGTGCTCCAAGAAGAAATAATTTAGGGATTGCAGAAGGATACTCATAGTCCTATTATGCTTTAGGTGAAAAAGAGGACCAGAATTTAGAGCTTTCCTAAGTGACAGATCACAAAGGGTGAATACTGGACAGAGAGCAGTCAGCCTGTGGGACATCACTCTCTGCCCCAGAAAACAGAAGTGGAAGCCAGTCCTGCCCGCCAAGCAGCTGGCAAAGGTTTTCAGCCAGATAATTCCTGTTAATTCCTGCCTTTAGAGGACGATATGAGGTGCTGTGGCAGCAAGTAGCGAGCTCTGCTGAGCATCCTGGGAGCATCAGATCTGCGTGTCAGATGTTCCCGTATAGAAGGGGGGATGAGAGTTTTCTCAAAAGAAAAATGTAGATGGCACTCAGCTCCTGCTTTTCAGCATTCTCATCCCCGACTTGGAAATCAACTCTGGCATTGCAGCATGATGGCATCCTCTAGTGAATCTACTGTTTTATTCTGTAAATTTTTCCAGTATATATAATTATTGCTTGTGCACATCTGCTTGTAAAGTTCATTCTATGGAGAAGCCCAGACTGCATCAGCAATCACGTTTTAGGCTTTCAAGCACACAACAGTCCACATGAAAGAAAAAGCGAAGGTATTAGTCATTTTATATCAAAGAGCAATTATTGTTCAAGTAGATTTAATCTTTAAATATTGCCGTGATGACTAAAATGACATAAATTAGCTTCAAAATAAGTATGCTGCCTGAAGTATGCCTGCTCTCTCTCAGAATATTTGCTAACAACAGTTTGTCAGCATGGCAGAGAGCTGGTCTTGTGGTTCCCCTGCTCTTGAGAGGCTCACAATGTGCAGAGGATCTACAGGGCTTGACCTTCAGCTGTAAAAAAGAAAATATTTAGCACCTTGCTAAGGTTTTTTTTCAGGATAATCCTGCGAGTGACTAATATGTGCCTTTTCTTTTACTGCTGGCATCTCCCTTTACTTGTAACCCTACTATATTAATGCAAACTACTAATACTACATGTATATCATGGTCATATGATATAGAAAAGAAACCCAATACAAAGGTGTATATAATCAGTATTTTTCTATTTATATCATACAAGTACATGTTGATATCACATATTTTTATCTCTAAAGATAGATAACCTCTGTGTATAACACAAGAATAAATATACAGAAAATATAACATTTTAATATCAGTAGCAGTCCTTGCCGAAGCATCCCTCCTGTTCAGCCAGCCCGCAGAGTTGCTCTCATGCCTCACCAGGAGCTTCATTACCCTGCTATTTAACTTTCCATGAGTATTTCAAGCAAGTCGTGCTTTAGCTGAGCACAAGGAGCTTTGAGAGCTGAATAATACAGACCCACTGCCTCAGCTTGTAAAAGAAAGTGGCTGTTGCTCTTGCTCTGTCACGTGCAGGCTGCTCTGCTGTCATCTTCGTCCAAGGGACCATGGCTGTTGGCCCTAAAACAGGGGGAAAAAGCACATTAAAAAAAAGACTGAAGAAGTTTGTATTGTTGTGGGGTTTTTTTAACGTGGTTCTCTGCTGCTCTGACTGTTTTTCCCTGTGCCCAGCCCTAGGCGGGTGCCTTGGCTCCAGCCAGGATGAGCAGTGCCCCGGGGCCGTGGCAGTGAAGAAGCGCATCGACTGCCACCCCCAGCCGGGCGCGTCCCAGGAGGCCTGCGAGGCGCGGGGTTGCACCTGGTGCAGCACCGATGTGCCCAACGCTCCCTGGTGCTTCTTCCCTGAGGACAGTCCCTACGGCTACTCCCGGGCTGGGAACGTTGAGAAGACAGACAAAGGCTGGAGGTGAGTGTGTGTGGCTCCTCGGGTGCTGCCGGCTGGCACTGCCCCACAACCACCGCTGCCGCCCTGGGGGCTCTCGCTGAAGACTTCCCCCAAGCTGCTCCGATACTCACGCTCAGCTTGTGACAAGGAGGGTAATGGACACGTTTCCCTGTGCATATGCCATGGAACTGGGGCTCTGTGCTCTCACCACACCACTGGTGAGGAAGTCTGGCAGGGGAACAGGCTGGTCCCTCCCACCCTGGGAGCTGTGTCCCAGGAGACTCTGCGGTCTCCTTGCTTTGGTGGCACCTATTTTATCCATTAACATCAAGGAGAGCCTAGGCTGACCTCAGGGATAATTTCTCTTGACAATGAAATAATGATTTATTTTGAGAGAGCTGACAGAATAGCTGGGTTGTTACCCCAGCTCTCCCCAGGGTGGTCTCAGCCAGTGATCAGTGTTTCCACTCCAGGGTCACACTGAACAAACGCCAGTCGTTGTCCCTCTTTGGAAATGACATTTCCCCGATCGTCTTGGAAGTGGAGTTCCAGACAAAGGACAGACTCCGGTTCAGGGTGAGCATTTGAGGAGTTGGAATAATTTAACCAAAGCAATGCACACTGAGCAGTGAGCTAACCTGCTCCCTCCTCACCTTGCTTTAGCTCTATGACCCCAACAAGCAGAGGTTTGAAGTCCCACTCAAGATCGATGGTCCCGGGGTTACCGCTGAGGAAGCCAACTATGAGGTGGAATTCTCGGAGGACTCCACGCACTTCACAGTCAAGAGGAAAAGCACTGGCACTGTGCTGTGAGTACTAGATATGATTCATGTTGCTTTTTGTAGAAATTAGATGTCATGGGGCAAGCACTGTTTCCTCACACCCTAGTGCTTGGGTCTGTGAGAAAAGGGGGTCAAAAGCAAACTGGATGTGGTATAAATGCAGATTTATGCCTTGTCCCTGAAGGACATTCATTATTAATAGGAGTATGTGCCTGTATAACAATCGTCTACATACATATATAAAAGGATATTCAGCAAGTCAAATAACTTTTAAGGCTACAATATCATGGCTTGGGAAGCTGGTAGACTTAACTCATCAAAGCACTGAACTATGATTTCTGAAATTTGAGGTGTCAGGAGTTGAGCTTTAAATCTCCTGACTCTCTCCAATAGGCAAGTCTAGGTTACTAAAGCTCAAAGCCACAGAGTCCATAAGCCTCTGACTTCCACTGATGTCAGTGAATGACATTGTCCCTCTGCAAAAATACCATTTGTATTCTCAAGTTGGTACTGTAAGTTTAACTTCAGCAAAAGCTCCCCTCACTAACAAATGTCAACAGGTGTCATAATATCCCCTTCCATCAACACAACTATAGTGTGTAATGATACTTACAAAGAGAGTCTCAGTCAAGGTGCACTCCTGCCAGCTGCTTTTGGGAATGGTACAACGAGCACTGTAAGGATGGCTTAACATGAGTGATGTAAATAAGACAATACAGCCTCTAGAATGGTCTGCAGATGGAACTACCATGCTGGGTTTTTAATGAGCTGACCATCCTTTTGAGTTACAGTCTCCTGGCATCTCCTTATACATGACATAGTCAATTCTGTAAAGTTTTCTTTCTGCAAGCTGTTGTAAATGAATGTATTATGCATTACTCCAATAACAAAAATAATTTCTCATTAGACTTAACAGCTCTGTGTAAACAGTGGACTAGTGTTAAAGGTCCAGTTTTCTTCTCCTCATAACAAGAGGTTTCTGTAAAGGCTTATTAATTGGAATGCTGATGAAAGAGGTGAATGCATAATGAGACGTGAGTGACCTCATTCACATTCAACTCTCCTCATCCTCAGTCAAACTCCAACGGTTTAGCCTCAGTTAGTCAGTTCATCCTCAAACTTGAGACATCTCAGCTAAGGGAAGAGGCCTGCCATGGTGCAGGGTCTGATCCACTGAGCCACAAAGGTGCAACTCCAGCAAGAGGCAGAGGAGCACAAGTTGGTCCCCACTGAGCAGGTTTCCAGGGGGCACATTCACTGGCCTGCCATGGGCCTGGGGAAACCTCTTCCATAGCCCTGGCAGTGGGGCACCCCTTGTCCCCCAAAGCCAGTGCCCAGCAGTGGCACAGATGTGGGGTGCAGCAGTGCTGTGCTGCAGAGCCCGGGGAGGCAGAGGGCAGCCTTGGTTAGCAGCATCTGTGCAGCACTAGGCAGCAATGCTCCACTCTCAAACATCCCCATGGGAAATCATACACTGCTTCAGGCAGCTGAAAGAGTGCTCCTGAAAGCCAGATGACCCCCAAAAGAGGAAATTGCGGGTGAATATAATGCGCAGTTAATGGGCTTTATTCTGCAAACAATGGCAGGGCTGCTACCAAAAGATTCTCTTCAGGAGAGACACAGAATTTTGCATATAGAAAGGGAAATTATGTGTTGCTGGGAATTTTTGTTTCATGTGAAATGGCACAGCAAATACTATAGACTGAAGGATCCTGTCAGGGAACCATTCCCCTCGCAGCTGAATCATATTTAGAGTTATATTCCCTGTCTGAGGAGCAAAAATGCTTTCCTTTCATTTGCTTGCCTGTCCATCCTGTCAGAGTGAGGGAATGCAAGTGCTCAGGGATAGCTCCACAGCCTATCTTAGAGGGATTTGCAATCTCCTTAGCCACCAGAAGTGCTGTGCAGATGGAAACCTTTCAAAACAGGAAAGCAGGTTATATATTCTGACCTAAAAGCCGTGGCTGGCTGCATTTGCTTCACTGTGGAGGATGAACCCTGAGCGAGCAGTGTTATAGCAGCATCACCATCAGTGGCTGCACTTGGCTGGCTGGGTCCAGGGGAGCACTGGTGGCATATGCCATGTTAAGTACATTTTCATGTTAGTTCAACCTGCCCAAAGGCAGGTTTGTATGCTAAAACCCAAATCTTTTCCTCTGGGCTCCCTCCAGAGTTGGTGCTGCAGGGCACCCAGCCTGCCTGGGCCAGGCACCAAGATGCACAGCTGGTGGTCTCTGTGGTCACACCAGGTTAGGGCAAGTGCCCCTGAGAAACAGGCAATTGCCTAACACCTGGAGAGACTTCAGCTTCCTATTTTAAGATGCGAATGGCCATGGCCTTGCTGTCTCAATGAACAGCTGAATCAATCATATGCACACAAATACTGCTTAGAACAGTTGATGTGGGCAAATAAAGCCTCTTCAACAGGTGCTGCAGTTGCACTCCCCAGGTGTAGGTGGATAATAACTTGTGTCTGCACCAAGTCAGGTAGAAATGCTCTGCTGGACCTTTTAACATCCCTGAGGAACTCTTTCTCATCCTAAAGCAATCCCAAATCCTCAGATATCCGTTTTACGTGATGCTTCTTATCCTTTGCTAGCAGCTCCACACTGCTGGATGACGCACCCCCCCGAAAAGCCTAAATTCCCTCATGATCTGCAGTGTGCTCTGGCCCAGACGACAGTCCACCTGGGGATGGAGCAGTCTGTCCCAAGTAGAAACATGGTATGAGTTTGGGCTGTGCTTTCAAAGTCCCTGTCTGTATTTCCCTACTCCCCTTTCCATGGTGCAGTCTGTCCTGCCATCCCTGTCTTTGTGACGAAGGATTTGAAGCGCTGGGGTAGCTGATGGCAGGCTCCTGTCTGTCAGCTTGATAGAAAACCCCATCTCTGCTCTACCACTCGTGTGCGCAAAGCCTCCTCCTCATGAGGAATGATTTAATTCCACATTGGAAATGCTAAAGGGGAGAGGCAGAGAAGGCTTTTTAGTATTCCTGAATGTGCTTTATTTGCTGCACTCGAGGAGACTTTGCCGTAGCTGAGCTACCCAAGGAGGGCAGGACAAACTCAGAGCTCCTTGTAATCACAATAACAGGAGAGAGGAATAAATTATGTGAGGGGAGACATTAACAGCTGATTGCAAACCTCATGCAGAGCCAGGAGCAAGAATAAAAGGCCAAGTCCTGCTACATTTTCGGCTTGCTCCAAGATAATCAAGTGACAGCCACTGCTTCACCTGCATGGGGCCAGAATTAGACAGGGTCATGTAGGGAGGTGATCCAGGTGCTGCTGGGGGCTTCCAGGACCAGGACCTCTTGGGCTGTCTCCCTTTCTGCTCCCAGTAATGCCTCCTTCTTACCTTTTTCCTTCTCTCCCACTGCTGTCCTGTTCTCTGTCCCATCCCACCCTCCCTGCTCCTGCTCCTCTTCTTTACCCTCTCCAATGCTCCTGCTATTTCATTGGTAGCCAGGGAACATCCTTTTCTGTGTCAGTAGCTCTCCAAAGCCATGGGGGTGAAGAGGTGTCATATCCATGCATTCACTGGTGAGGTGCCAAGGGGGTCAGATGAGACTCAGGGGCAGGCAAAGCTCCCACTCCCATCCAATGTCAGGTATTTTCTGGTTTTTTCTAGGGAAAACCAGAAACCTGAATCTGATTTAAGGTTGCAAGTCATAGTTCTGAACCATGAGAGACAGGGACTGGGGACTGAGTCTCATGTCCCAGAGGTGAGGCTCCCAAACTAACATCTTTGTGGGACAGCAGAGGCTGCAGGGAGCCCCTCCCCACTCTCATCATACTTGGAAAATAACTGTTTTGGCAAATTGGTGTGATCAATGGCAAAATGCTTTGTCAAGAGATTGCTTTAGTTTAGTAAATCCTTGCTCACAATATCCTAATTGATCTTGCAGCTCTAACAGGAAACTCTCCTATTGTCAGCCAGGTTTATTGTTTACAGTAGTAAAAACAGGAGAGAAAATACTGTGTTGTAGTAAGGCAGAGAGAGAACTAAACAGCCTCTGTGTTGTTTTGTAGCACATGCACTCAGGTTAAGTGCTATTCTCCTTCCTGCTTCTGCCGCACTAACAACAGCAACCACTGGAGGAGGTAGTACCAAGAGTGAGCATGAAGGCTTTGAGAAAGCATACACTTCGTCAAGAACAGAGAGTAAAAGACTGGGAACTGTTTGCCCTAAGACAGTGATAAATAACAAATCGTTTTGCAGTGTGTGATTACTCTGTGGGACTCGTTGCCCCAGGGCAGCACTGACATGGGAGGCTTAGCAGGATACACATTCATGCACAATAAAACATCATCTGTAGGTAATAAAAGCAAAACAACCCAAACTATTTTTGACTCCATGTTTCACAATATCATTTAATTCTATGAAAACAGCCAGAAACTTCCTCCATAAGCAGATTATTGCAAGACTGGCTCTGAGTGACATCTTATGCCTTCCTTTGTGATATCAGGCCTGGGCCATTGTTGGAGACAGGCTGTAGAGGGACGAACTACTGAT